ATGGTCTGCTGCAGAGTTACCAAAAGCATCCACAATTAAAAAAATTAAGATATACAGAATAGTGACAGAGTAGAGTGAGGGGAGCCAAGGTGACCTTCAAGGTCCCCCTTCTTTACTTTAGCCCAATAGGTTTTCAAGGTGTGATGGGCGCATTCCACAATAGCCTGTCCTTGGGGGGGATGTAAGGAATACCGGTCTTTAGGGTAATCTCAAAGTCTTGACAAAATGTTGGAAACCTCTGCTGACATAGGCATGACCATTATCAGTCTTAATTTGTTTTGGGACCCCCATGTAAGCAAAAGCCTGTAGACAGTTGCTCTTAACATCTTTCACCTTTTCACCAGAATGGGCAGAGGCAAATATCAGACAGGAAAAAGTATTTACAGAAACATGGACAAATTGTAATTTACCAAAGGATGGCACAAGCGTTACATCCATCTGCCACATGTGATTGGGCAAAAGTTCTCAAGGATTAACTCCCAAGTGAGGCACAGGAAGAAATTCTACACAAAGAGAGCAATCCTTAACTATTTGAACAGCTTGTTTTTTAGTTATCCCAGTATGAAAGCGTAAGGACCCTTTGCTGAGATGAAAGTGCTTAAGTAAGGATTGTGCTCTAGTGAGCTCTTGTGAAACCATAATGTTTTGAGTATACCCATCAGCCATGTGATTTCCTTCGCTGAGGGGGTCCTGGCAAAGGGGTATGAGCCCTAAGATGTCCCACAAATACAGGTTCACAATGTTGCCATAGCAGACCCTGTATCTGAAACAAACTCTCTAGTACTCTGGAGATGGGGGCAATATAGGCAGCAGTCTCCAGAGGTTGGATAATATGAGCAACATATTGGCTATTGGTATAGATGTTTAGTGCCCCCGTGGGGAAATGCTGTAGAGCCATGGCCAAGGCTAAGAGTTCGGCCATTTGGGGAGAAGCTGCAGTGATTCTGGCTGTCTTAATGATGGGAAAAGATACAACTACAGCTGTACCCTTTGAAGAACCATTCATGAAAACCACATGTCTCTTGGAAATAGGCTGACAGACTACAATCTTTGGGAAAATCAAAGAGGGAAAATTAAAAAAGTGAAAGACCCCAGACCCCTAAGGGCCTCAGGATCCCGAGGAGCCCCCGAGACTCAGAAACCAGACCAAGAGCTGCAAAAGCAAGAGGGTTTATTGAACGAATAAGCATTCGGGTGTCTGCAGTATTGAGAAAGCTGCACACCCCAGCATGGGGTGCAAGCTCCTTATACAGGAAAAAAACGCAGATCAGCATACAGGCAAGGGGCACAAAGTGATTGATTACAAAGTATGATCTCATGTTAGAGTGGTTAACGTGCAAGCTCCTTATACAGGAAAAAAACGAACATCAGCATACAGGCAAAGGGCACAGAGTGATTGATTACAGAGTATGATCTTATGTTAGAGTGGTCACCCAGGTGTGACCTGCTTTTCTACAAGGAAAAACCTCAGAATGTACCCTGGAAAGTCCCCGATTGTCTGTTGGCCAGGTATGACCCAAAAAGGATTGTTTGTCTGCCCTCGGCTTGGGGCCAACTTCCTTCTCCTGGGCCAAGGCCTGTGGGAAACTTTTTCTCTCAGCAAACTAAAATCTTTCAAAAGGAAACAAAATTATTGGATGGGTAATGGTTATCAAAATCACTCTGGGTTGCAGAGAGAAAAATGGCCCAATCACAGCTATTATTTTGTAGTCACTCTAATTGTTGATGGGACAAAGGTGAAACAACTTAATCCAGCTCCCTACAAAAAGATTGTTAGGCAACCTTTTGTGCTTTAAATAGGAGTGTAACTATAGCTTGGGGATAGGATACCACTGATTTAGATGGGGAGGCTTGAACATGAACCCAAAGAATAGGATTATCTTGCCAAAAAACTCCTGTAGGGGCATGAGCAGAGCAAAATACTAAGAATTTTAAAGACTTGGCATAATCTATATAATCCAAATAAGACTCTTCTAAGGCCTCTTCAAATAAATGCATATACTCCCATCCTGCGATAGTAAGTGTAAGATTCCTGGAAGCTCAGGCCCCCAGGATCTCAGCCCAGGACAGCGGCCACTCCAATCACCAGGCAGAGTGGAAAGCTAGATGCAAATTGCATGAGGCTTTATTATAGTTGTTTAATGAGCCATGTTAGCTCGGGTCTTTCATCCACCTACCATGCCGGAGATCTTATAGAGCAGCATTAGGGGAGTATCTAGGGGTACGCACAGGCTCAGAATTGGTGTGTCTCCAGGCTTGGAGGACTTGCCCTGTGTTGATTGGTCAACTGGTTGTTATGGCCCATAGGCCCTCCCAGGGTGATTGCTATGCTCTGCGTGTCATTGCTGTGCAGTTGTCCATAAAGCACACCCAGAGCTGTAAAGCATAGCACCACCAGCTAACTTCTGATTGGTTCCTTGCCACAAGGCAAGCATCTGACCTCCTAGTGACCAAAGCAAGGTCAGGCAAGCATTTGTTAGATTGTTATGGTGGCTGATAACAATTGGGAGCTGGTCTCTTCATTCCCCCAATTTCTTTTTTGGAGATTTCAGTCATGGAATTGCTGTCTCTCCAGCATCCCCATCAGGGAGTGAAAGCTATTGGGATCCTCATGCAAGGAGTTCCTTCTGACTTTACATTTCAACCAGGGAAAAATGGGCGACGTATTCTTTCCCATTCTACTCCTTGCTGACTTTGGGATGAAGTTAGGGACTCAAGAAGGCTGAAATGCTAGTCAAAAGCAAAAAAAGGAATTTAGGCAATGGGGAATCCATCAGGAGCTTCTGGTTGGCAGACTCTGTTGCAGAGACAGGGGGTGTCCACATCAGCTGGACTGGTTCACATCCACAGCAAGTCCAGGGCTCACAGTCTACTTAGAACAGCCTGTAGTCAGCAACTGATACTCAGATGTGTCTGCCAGAAGCAGAAACCTGTTTAAGACATGTTTAAACTAGGAACAGAAGTTAAAACTTATTTACTGAAGCCCACAGTGCAGAAAAAGCAGATATCAGGATCTTTTCAAACAGCAGGAACATATTTATAATTTTGAGTCCTAGCAAAACCTACAGATTTGGTCTAGAAGCATGTACATTTTTCTTCTGTCCAGAGAGCCAGGTATGGATTGGACAGAGGTGCCTTTGGCCTGATGAAAAGCCCTTTAAGTTTATATTTAGATGACAACAGAATAAACCTAAAAACCTTGAGCTTGTGCCTGATAGTCATTACTTTATCAGCTAACATGCTGACTATATTTTACAATGGATCTGACTGCCTGATGCTGTCAAGCTGACAACTATTAATATTTGAGATCTGAGAAGGGTATATTTTATACAATTTCTGAATCTATTAAAAAGCAACAGAAGCCACTTAGAAGCCAGTCCACATACAGTTAGCCATACCCAAGTCTCTCCATTAGCATTGGAGGCAGAAGTATCAAAGAACATCAATCTTTGCCAGGCCTATAAGGTGAGAGGTGTTTTTCTCTCTGTGGAAGAGGGACATGGAAAAGACTGACCTTGTTTTGTCTAGGCAAAGGGGTACAATCAATTTTCCAGTGTCCAGCAGCTTTGTTCACAGTCTTGGCCAGGTCCTGGCAGGCAGTCAATGTCACATTTGAGCATCTTTCTCACTGGTCAGCATCATCATTATCCAGGTGCAAGAACTGGGGTGCCTCATAATCTTCTTTGGAGACTTTGGGTCAAGTCTGTCTGATATTATAAACTTTTAAAACACCGTTTTATATACTCTGCAGGTCTCTGAAGCATTAGAGGTCTGTTTGTCTGTTTTAGTTACTTGCCTTAAGCACACAGATGGCCAGGTAAGGTTTTATTTCTGTAGTTGATTAATTTTCAGTCTGACTGTAACTGGTTTTAACTTAGTAAAATATTTGAAACTTAGCACAGCTGAATTTAAAATTGCATGGAGTTACCTTATATTCCTTAAACAGTAGCTACATGTACACATTTTAGCTGCTTGCTTAAACTTAACTTCTTTCTGAGACAGGGTTTCTCTGTGACTTTGGAGCCTGTCCTGGAATTTGCTCTGTTGACCAGGCTGGCCTAGAACTCACAAAGACTTAAAGGCGTGTGCCATCTACACCCTGATCTTAAAGGTGTGTGTTACCAACATCCTAAACTTAACTTCTAAAAACATAAACTGTAACATCTTATAATAGATTAGCATCTTTCATAAAACAAGAACTTTACATTGTCAGGCTTTGCTTAAAAATGATTCTAAATTGAAGCTCCTTAAGTACAAACATTAATAAAAAAAGACATTTAAAAAAAACATAAACATTCTAGAACTCACAAAGATTCGCCTGCCTCTGCCTCCTGAGTGCTAGGATTAAAGGTGTGTGCCACCAATGCCGTAAACTTAACTTAAGAAAACATAAACTGCAACATCTTATAATAGATTAGCAGCTTTTATAAAACAAGAGCTTTACATTGTCAGGCTTTGCTTAAAAAAATGATTCTAAATTGAAGCTCCTTAAGTACAAACATTAATAAAAAAAGACATTTAAAAAAAACATAAACATTTAAAAAACTGGTTTTGAAAAGATATTTAAAATCCCTAATGTCTTTCTGTAATATATAGAAGCATTAACATTTTAAATCTTAACTGAAAAACTTGTTTCTAAGATGATACCTCTAATTTCCATGTGGTCACCTTTAGTCAAGATGGAGGTTCAAGTATCCTTTTTCAACTTCAGCAAAATGGCTACCAGTCAGCCATGTGACCAGCTTGTCATGTGGTTGGCTACAAAATGGCGGTGACCTGCACCATTTGTTTTAGCTGTATGCTTGTAACAGAACTTAGGTTACGCCAGGAAACAGAACATTTTAAAAAAAGCATACATAATTTACTTGAGAAATAAACAGAACTTTTAAAACAGAATTAACTTAATATGATTAAAATTTTAACTTATATTACCAAATTTTAAAATTTACTATTTGTAGACATGAGAAACCATAACAAACAGTTTACATTTTTCTCTGACTTTTAACAAACTTTCCTCTGACCTTCTATGACTTGCTTTAATCCTCTATAATTTTTTATCATTCCTCTGATTTCCTTAGATATTCTTAGACAAAATTCTCTTTCCCTATCCCTCTTTGTTACTTTAGTCTCCTACGTTTTTTCTCACTTTTCAGTCAACATAAAAACTCTTATCAAAGTCCCTTTCATAGTTTTTAATAACTTTAAGGCCATTTCTTTACATGTCTAGAACAGGCCAGATGGTTCACCCGCCCCAGATCCATGTGCTCAGGTCAGAGACCTGGGGAGGGGGTGCTGCTGGTAATCCCAGACCCTCTGCCAATGCAGGGGTGGGAAAAAGACCCCCAAAGTTTCCCTGCATATCACATGTCTAGAGCAAAGAGAAGGCCAGGCAGCCAGGCAAACAGTGGCCTTGCAAGCCATGTGCTCAGGGCAGGGAAACTCCCGCCGTAAGTCAGGACTCACAGCAAGATGGCAGTTGGGGCAGAGAGAGCCCCACTTCACATGTTTCACAGACCGGCAGGTGAGGATGGAATGACAGACTCACCAGCACCAGCCAGGCTCAGCTGTGAGGGCCGCAGCAGTGGTTGGAGTTCAGAGCAGCAGCCTCAGGGGACTCTGCCGCAGCACACTCTAACACATGACACATGGCAGAGGAACTCCTATCCTGCACAGCACGTGCTCAGGGCAAGAAAAGACTCCTGACTCAACGCATGCCACATGTGTGGGCAGTAGGGACAGAAAGAGATGCTTAACAAGCACACAGCACAAATGTGAAACTTGGACAGACAGCACAGTAACACAGACTAGGGTCCTATTCAGAATTTTAGATGGCTAGCCCCATGGAGATCAACTTGGTCCAAAACCAAGTCTCCCTTACAGATTGGTGACCCGCCTGGGTCCCCTTACAGATGGAGAAGGCAACTTGCTCCCAGCAAGTGCCCATCCTACAGATTGGGCAATTTGGGGCCCCCTGGCCCCCTTACAGATGGAGCAGGCAACTTGGTCCCACCAAGTACCCCTCCTATAGATTTCGGAAGCTGTCGCCCGAACCTCCACCCTAAACAATTCTTGTAGGCCTACCTAGAGATGCTGCCAGTGACCCCAACATAGGACTTTTACATTTACAAAATTAACAGAAACAGCAGATCTGAAAACACAAAACAGAAACAGCACCGATAAGCAGGCAGGCAGGGTGTGGATTGCAACAGATCAGATAACACAGATAACAAACCTTCTCAACTGCCCAGTCAGTCATACCACTAGTTCCAACCCTCCAGGCTTCACAGAAACCCTACAGAAACAAAGACAAAAGAAAGTTACCTAGTGTGGCGCCACGTGACTCAACGAAAGGCAGTTTTGTAACTTTAACTGACTGACTATTGTCCTTAACGTCCATCTAGTGGTCAAAAGTCAGACCAAGGGGGGTGGTTACATTCGGTCCCATCATCAAAGTCACAAATAAGACAAAATAGAAACCCAAGACACACAGACAAAAACTAACAGATGTCTGTCTCCACCTAGACAGACAAAATGACTCCAGAAATGCAGACAGCCGGGAGGGCATATAACTTCCCCAATCCAGGAGAACTACCATACCCTCACCGGCTCCCAGACAGGAATCTCTCAAGCATCCCTGAGGTTCCCCCAGACTTCCTGGAACTTCTTCCAGGGTGGCAGTCGGTGATCTCCTAGCATGTCTGCTGATCACACTCTGTCTCCTCCCGAGACCAGAGCTCTCGTCTCTTCTCAAGACACGAGGGACTGCAAAACACAGAACCAGATTTCAGCTGGCACAAAAACACAAAGACACAGACAATACAGGGTACCCGCTTACCTCCAAGATCGACTCCACTCAGGTGAGGGGTGGTCGCAAATCCAGGACGAGCCCCCAAATGTAAGACCCCCGGAAGCTCAGGCCCCCAGGATCTCAGCCCAGGACCACAGTCACCCCAATCACCAGGTGGAGTCAAAAGCTTGATGCAAACTGCACAAGGCTTTATTATAGTTGTTTAACGAGCTAACCCCATGTTAGCTCAGGTCTTTCATCCACCCACTATGGCAGATGCCTAGGAAAGACAGCTTGAATTGTCTGCATAGAGATCTTATAGGGCAGCATAAGGAGAGTGTCTAGGGGAGTGCACAGGCTCAGAATTGGTGTGCCTCCAGGCTTGGAGGGTTTGCCCTGTGTTGATTGGTCAACTGGTTGTTATAGCCCATAGGCCCTCCCAGGGTGGTCGCTATGCTCTGTGCGTCATTGCTGTGCACTTGTCTGAAAAGCACACTTAAAGCCATAAAGCATAGCACCACCACCTAACTTCTTATTGGTTCCTTGACACGAGGCAGGCATCTGACCTTCTAGTGACCAAGGCAAGGTCAGACAAGCATGTGTTGGCTGTTATGGCTGCCAAAATGGGGAGCTGGTCCCTTCAGTAAGGACTCGAGGAGAGTTGGGATCTGAATCACCTTGTAAAATATCAAAAAGAGGTTTAAGCTGTCCAGTAGTAATTTTTAAACAAGGTCTGATCCAATTGATATCTCCCAGAAGCTTTTGGAAATCATTTAAGGTTTGAAGGGTGTCCAGTCGAAGATTAATCTTTTGAGGCTGCACCCCATTATGAAGCAAGTGATGTCCTAGATAATGATATGGAAACTCCTTTTTTTATCGTCTCTGGTGCTATTTGTAAGACAGCCAATCCTAAGGTGGTCTGAAGATCCCTAAAAGCAGATAACAATAGCTTTTCTTTTGGCACAGCCAACAATGTATCTCCACATAATGAATTATATACAATCGAGGATATTTTTGTCTGACTGGCTCTATAGCCTGAGAAACATAAACTTGACACATGGTAGGGATATTAGCCATGAGTTGAGGCAAAATTACCCACTGATACCTCTTGTAAGGCTCTCTTAAATTTAAAGATGGAACACTGAAAGCAAAGCGCTGACAATCAGCAGGGTGTAGAGGAATGGTGAGAAAGCAATCCTTTAAATCTATCACAAGCAAGTGCCAACTTTTTGGAATGGATACAGGGGCTGGCAACCCTGGCTTAGTGGTACCCATGAGCATCATAGTGTTATTAACTTATCTCAGGTCTTGTAACAGCCTCCATTTATCTGATTTTTTTTCCTAATAACAAATATGGGAGTATTCCAGGGAGAGGTAGAAGGGACAATATGACCAGCATTGAGTTGCTCCTGGACCAGGGCATGAGCAGCCTCCAACTTTACTTTAGATAGGGGCCATTGTTCTACCCAAACGGGTTCATCATTTTTCCAGGTGATGGGAATTGGAGGTATGTGAGGCTGCAGAACAATGGCCCCCATTAAAAATGCCCCAATCCTCTCTTGTCTCCCGGCGATCTCTGCACTGGAGGTTTATCAGATACAGGCAGGGGGTCACCCTGTAAATTCTTTCCAATCCCTCTTCCTGGACAATAGCCCTGCTCTCTAAACATGTGCTGCAAGGAGGTGTGGCCAGTAAGGCCCCCATGGCTTCTAGGACATCTCTGCCCCACAGATTGATCGAGATGTGAGGCAAAATGAAGGGCTGAAATATTCCAGAATGTCCCTCATTGTCTTTCCAAGTTAGTAGACGGGAACTTTTACTAGGTGACTTTGCTAGGCCTATACACTGTAAGCTACTATCTGATTCTTGCAGGGGCCATGCCTTGGGCCAATGATTGAGGGAAATGACAGACATGTCTTCAACTGTGTCCAAAAGCCCCTGAAAGGCTCGTCCTTCAATAGTAAGGGTCATCAAGGGTCTGGACTCGAGAGTAGACACCCAACATGCCATAGGTCCTGTAGATCCAACCCCCCTTCTCCTTTTACAGGCTTAAGGAAGGGGTTATTAGTGGTAAATTTAGGGGACAGAACTAACTGAGCAATTCTAGCTCCTTGGGGTATAACAGTGACTTCCTTGTCAGCTTCCAACATTATTTTGATCTCTCCTTCAGTATCTTCATCAATCACTCCCGGAATGACCCTAACTCCCTGAAGTAGAGCACTATTCCTTTCTAAAATCAACTCAGTTGAGCCCCGTATTAAAGGGCTTTTACCTCCCATGCCCAAAGCTTGGGGTCCCAGCTGAAGGGTCAATACTGCTCTGGAGGAGGAGCAGCAGACACACACTGTGCTTCCTGGGGTACCTCTGACAAGGTCCTGGATACAAAGGGGTTCCTCCGGGATAGGACTGAATAGGGTGGGAAACAAGTGTATCTAGGGGGCCCAGAGTGGACCCAGACTCCCGTTTCCCTGGAAGTGGCAGAGGGTCACCCTGTATATCAGTCTTTGATCTATACTTATTGCCCCAATGATGTCCCTTTTTACATCAGGGACAAAGACCTGGCCCTGGACAAGGAGGTGCAACAGAGTCATTAACAGGACAAGTTTTCTTAAAGTGGCCCACTTGCCCACATCCAAAACATGTCTTAAATCTGCCCCCCCCCATACCGATCCTCTTATTTCCCTGCATGGCAGAAGCAATAACTTGTCCTGTAATGTGGTGTCCATCTATATCTCTACAAATGAGAATATAACCATTGAGGCTTCTGGTCTTATGAGGCCGTAAAGCCTCCTTGCAGTACTTGTTAGCAATTTCAAAAGCTAATTGTTTTACTATAGGCATAGCATCACCGGCCATTCTCAAACATGCACCCTGCAAGTTGCAGGAGCCGATCCACAAACTCAGAATAGGGTTCATATGGTCCCTGAAGGACCTTAGAAAGTTGGTCTCCTGCAGCCTTATTAGGTAAGGCTTTCCATGCTTGGCCAGCAGCTGCTGAAATCTGTGCATACACAGCAGGGTCATAAAGAATCTGCTGGCCTAGACCTGCATAGGCTCCCATGCCAGTAAGCATTTCTAAGCTCCTTTTAGGGAAACCAGCAACTGCATTGGGGTGGGCTGTTTGATTACAAAGTTCTTGGTATTCACTCCTCCAGATCAAATAATCTCCCCCTGATATTGTAGCTTGACATAATTGCTGCCAATCACTGGGGTTGCAATTCAAAGCCACAACGGATTAAAAAACAGCCAGAGTAAAAGGGGCATGAGGCCCGTATGCCACAACTGCCTCCTTTAGTTGTTTTATATCCTTAAAGTTAAGAGGGGCATGCTCTCTCTGACTCTGGCCTTGGGGATTAATTGTCTCTATGACTGGAAATATCACTCCACCCCTCTGCTATTCAGGAGGGGCTGAAGGAATACAGAAAGAGCTAGAATGCTCGGGATTACAAGCAGGGGGATGCGGCTCAAGGGAGCATCTCCTAAACTTAGGCTTTAATTTGAGGATGTCCTTCTTGAATTGAAGTGATTCACCTTCAGTCAGTCTCATCCCCCGAAGAGGAGAGAGAGGACTCAGAGTAAGAAACATCAGAAGCTTGGAGTGGCATAACAGACTCTTGGTTCTGAGCCTCTGCAAAGGCAGCTTTGGCTTCCTCAACCTGCTCTTTCACCTCCACATTATCACTAAGAAGTGCTTCCTTGACTTGACGCCACAGAGAAAAAGTAACAATTGATATGGCATTTGCCCCTTCATTTTGTAATGTCCTTTGTAGGTCTCCCTTCACCTGCTCCCAATCAGGAATATTAAGGCCACCAGAGACCAAAAACTAAGGGCTGACCTCATGTACAGTTTTCAAGAAGCCTTTTGCTGTCTTATGTTTGATACCAGTGTCTTGCTTTTTTAACAATTGGACCAGTTGGTTCCCCACAAGAGAGTAAGAACTGGCAGCACCCATATTCAATATACCCACTCCTTACCTTAATGAAAACACTGGCCAGCCTTCACGGGTGATCCTTCAGCGTCTTCCTTTCTTCCCTATCTTGGTGGGACCTCCACTTGTAGCCCCTGTGCTACAACACTTCTACTGATTTGAGCGAGGGGCTTGAGGATTTAAATAAAGACAAGACAGCAGGTCTTTCTTGCAGGGAGAATGCCATTTATTCCAACAAGAGTGGGTTCTTATATACCGGTCAGCAGGCATGGTGGAAAACTACCCAGGTCCATCAGGCAATCCTGGATGGGCAAATAACAGGATAACAGGAACTTGCACTCAGGACTTCAAGGAAGGAAGAAAACAAAATGTACTTGGTAGGTAAGCTCCTAGTCACAAGCTGGTCAACAGACCCCTATGGGGGAAGGGCCCAACACCTAGGATCCTGGTCAGGGGCTGGGCCCATGTAAGACTCTATCCCCCACTGTGGGATGGAGGAAGTTATAGGCAGCAGTGGTTCCTACAGGCAGTGCCACACTCTCATGGAAGCATGAATGGGTCTGTTCAGAAACTTGCAGGGTCCTGCACCTGATCATGGCGCAGTCTTCTGTTCCTGTGTGAGACTCCAGACCATGTTTAGCAGGGTGAAAAACACCAGGTGCATGCAGGGTGGTTGGGGACTTCTCAGAAACAATCCCCTGCTCACTATACATGGATATACCCTAACTGCGAGAGAGCATGGGGAGGAATGCCCCACCTTCCCCAATTGATTACCAAAAGATAGCCGAATATGGTGCATTCCAATCTTGATGGGCCACCAATGAACAATAACCAACTCTGCCTGTTGCTCGAATCTGCCTCAAAATGCCTATAAAAGATGTGTGATTTTGCTGGGAGTCTCTCCTGTCTTGAGTACAGACGACCCCAGTGCGCACTGGAACAATTAACCTCACGCTTTTGTAGCAGTCTCAGTCTTGATGTCTCAGTAAGCGGGTGTTCTGGTTTAGTTCCCACTCTGGGGTCCTACACCAGATGAGCCCTTTCTAGGAACTTCACCTCGAAGGTGTTGGAGGCGCTGGGGCCTACCAGCTGGACAGTGCACTCCCCTCCATCCAAGGCCCAGCTCTGGAAGCATTTCTCTAACTTTTTGTGGGGGAGAGGGGAATGGACTCCGGCAGCCGCATGAGTAGGGGGAATGGTGGGCAGGAACTGGAAACCATGGCAGTCCTCGTCTGGATCACATGGGGATCAGGGACTGTGTGCAGCCAGGTCAGAGCAAAGGTTTGGTTCTTAGCACGCATACAGTGGCTCGCAGTCTTACCTGCAACTCCAGTTCCAGGGGGTCTGATGCCCTCTTCTTGTCTTTGTTGTCTCCTAATGCATGTGGTGTGCACAAACTCACATAGTTTTCTCACTTAGTGGCTGCTCTTCAGAGAATCCAGATTCAATTCCAAACATTCACATGGTGACTTATTGTCTGTAACTCTAGTTTCAGGGGATGTAGTGCCCTTTTTGGCCACTACGGCATACATGTGATGCAACGCATTTTGACAAAACACCATACATAATAAAATTAAATAAAATTTTAAGAGTTTTTTCTAGTACTGTGTGAGAAAATGAAAGATATGCTAATATAATTAAATATGGTGGCACATGCCTGTGATTCCAGTACTCAGTAAGTTGAGGCAGAAGAATCACTGTGGGTTTCAGGCCAGCCTGAGGTACCCTGTCTCTGAATTCAAAACATAAATAATTATATACTAACCTCATTAGCAGAATCAACTTGGGGATGGATGATCTTTTTTTTTTTTTAAGTCATCTCCAGGGCCAGGAAAGTAACACAGATGATAAAGGGTTTGTTTATATGCAGAAACAAAGACAGAAAAAAGAAAGTTACCTTGTGTGGCACCACATGACTCAACGAAAGGAGGTGATTAGTTGCTGGCCCATGGGGAAACCAGAAACAGAGACAAACAGCAAAAACAGGAGGATAGACACAACAGACAGAACAAACCGTACGGCAAACGAATGGCGCCCAAACCAAAATTACAAAAAACCCTTGGACTTTCGTCCAGGGTGGGACCAAGGATCTCAGGACACGACTGTCTCCCCCTGTGGTCCAAATTACCAAATAGAAGTCCTGCGCAGGCACAAATTCAAATACAAGTCAAAACAGCAAGAGACGTAACAAGATACATTATCAAACATAGACATAACAAGACATATTATCAAATATTTGGTTGTGAGCTCGACCTTACCTCCAAGATTGACTCCACTCAGTGAGGGGTGGTTACAAATCCCAGACGAGCCCCCAAATGAAAAACCCCCGGAGACTCAGACCCCCAGGATCTCAGCCCAGGACTGCATCACACCAATCACCATTCGGAGGTGGAAACTTGATGCAAACAGCAAGAGGCTTTATTGTAGTTGTTTACAAGCTAACCCCATGTTAGCTAAGGCCTGTCATCCACTCGCCATGGCAGATGCCTAGGAAAAACGCTGCAAGGCTACTGCATAGAGATCTTATAGGGCAGGGCTGGAGAGATGGCTCAGCCGTTAAAGGCTAGGCTCACAACCAAAAATATAAGAGATCTTATAGGGCAATGTAAGGGGAGTGTCTAGGGGTATGCACAGGCTCAGGATTGGTGTGCCTCCAGGCTTGGAGGGTTTGCCCTGTGTTGATTGGTCAACTGGTTTTTATGGCCTATAGGCCCTCCCAGGTGGTTGCTATGCTCTGAGCATCATTGCTATGCAGTTGTCCAAAAAGCACACCCAGAGCTGTAAAGCATAGCACCACCGGCTAACTTCTGATTTGTTCCTTGCCACGAGGCAGGCATCTGACCTCCTAGTGACCAAGGCAAGGTCAGGCAAGTACATGTTCAGCTGTTATGGCTGCTGAAATGGTCCCTTCAGTAGTACCTAGCAAGTTTAAGGCCAGACTGGGATGCATGAATCTCAACCTTGGTCACCTCTATGTCTTGTGGATTTTCTTCACTCACTTAGCAGTTCTTTCAGGATGGGTAAGGAGTGATCAAGGAATGAAACCGGGAACAGAGGAAGGCACCCTGTGCAGTAGATCTGAAAATTCCCACTTAATGTCTGTGTATGAAATAGTAAATGGAAGTGGACCCTTACAGATGTGAGGCGCTGTGGCTGGTGCGGCTCCTCAAGTTTTCTTCCTGGCCGGGGAAACTGCACAAGACTGGAAATTGGAGCCTGCCTGAGCTCTTTGACTCATTCTGGCTGAGGCCTTTGTGCCTTTTCAGGTGTTAACCTCCAGCCTTTTATCTTATTCTGAATTCAAAGTGCATCGGCAGAGCATGGTAGTACACGCCTATCACCTCAGTCCTGTGGAGTTCCTGCCAGCCTGGGCAATGTAGTGAGTTCAAGCCAGCCTGGCCATGGTGTGAGACAACAGACAAAAAGTGCATTGCTCTCAAAGAGGCATAGGTTCAGTACTTGATGCAGCTTTAGTATTTTTAGTGTTTTAGGCACACTGATTAAAAACAACATGACAAAAATCAACTGATTAATGAATCTACACAAACAACAACCAAAACATTTCCTCTCTAAAACCCAACCCAAAAACCTGTGCTCTGAGCAGTGCTTTCTCTTTCTAGACTGTGTGTCCTGTCGGTCATCTCTGCTTTTGCAGCTTCCAGCTTTTAAAGGAGCCGTTTTCATTTTTTCACAGGGTTCAGGAGCAGCAGCTTACACTGAAAGACCAGGTATGATCACCTCTCTCTCTTATTTAAGAAAGGCTTTGCTCAGCTCTTCCCTCAGTGCTGAAGAGGGCACATGGAAGGGGACTGTCTCCCCTCAGGGACTCAGGTGTGTGACTGCAGGCACCTGCTTCAGAGGCACTGGGACAGCTGAAGACATGTTCTCTTAGGGTTCCCACTGTCCTTTTCCCTTGTCAGCAGATATTAGACTCTTTTCTCTTTTGTTTGTTTGAGAGGGTCTCAGTTTGTAGATCTAGCTGGCTGGAGCTCAGATCTGCTCGCCTTTGTCCTCATCACTCCCCTCCATTCTGTGAGAGCTTCTGACCATAGCCTGACAGACAGAATGGGCAGAAAGGGTGGCCAAGAGCTGAAAGAGCCAACCTTCCTAATTCTAGGAATGGCCCATATGAGGTTTCCCACCAGTGTTCGGGCCACTTGAGACCAACTGCTTAAATGTGGCTTCTTTTGGCTAAGAGAGATCACCAGAAGTCTTTCTTGGTGGTGCAGACTAGAAATGAAGTAAATTACATTTAATCTGTTTTAGGAAGCACATTTTCTTGCATTTTAATGCCTCTGAAATGAGCCCCAGTTTCACTGGCACTCATTTTCCTTTCTCTGACACAGAGGCTGTGCTGGTGACAACTCATTGAAGAATAGACACTTCCCCTTGGGAGGTTTAGACCAAGAGCAAGCTCAGAATTGCAATTTCCATTTCTCCTCCTGTTCTTCACCTTTATGAAGTTTGTGGTCTGTGGTTTGACTCTTGTGTGTATCTGATGTCTGTCTGTTCTGTGGTCTGTCCCTAACAAAGGGCTTTCTGTTTTTCTGACAGTACAGAGAACACAATATGGTAAAGGAATTAAGAATTTTTTAAAAAGAGTTTTAGAAGGTAATAAGTTACTTTACTGACCCCAGCTGACCTACAAACAGATGTTTTAAACACATGTTCTCCACCTATTTCTACATATTGCTTCCAGCAGTAATGAGTTATTTTGTTTAAGGTTGCTTTCAACCTATTGGCTCCTTTCAGCAAATGGTTACCACAACACACATAGGCACAGGGACATGGAAGAATCATAGTTTAAGAGTAAAGCTATGCATTTAGTTTAGGATGTATATATATCTATATATCTATATATATCTATATATATCTATATATATAGATATTTGCATATAATAATTATATATATATATTATTGCATAGTAAGGTTGGTTACATTGCTTTAAAAAAAGCTATTTATTTAGTATACACTGTTCTGCCTGCATGTATGTCTGAGGATCAGATCTCATTACAGAGGATTGTGAGCCACCGTGTGGTTGCTGGGAATTGAACTCAGGATGTCTGAAAGAATAGCAAGTGCTCTTAAACTTTGAGCCATCTCTCCAACCCTATATTGGTTTCCTTAAAGATTTATTTACTTATTATACATGCAATGATCTCCTGGCATGTGTGTCTACATGACAGAAGAAGGCATCAGGTTTCAGTATAGACTGTCTTGAGCCACCATGTGGTTGCTGGGAATTGAACTCAGGATGTCTGAAAGAATAGCAAGTGTTCTTAACCTCTGAACCATCTCTCCAACCCTTTATTGATTTCTTTAAAGATTTATTTACTTATTATGCAGGCAATGATCTGCTTGCATGTATGTCTACATGATAGAAGAAGGCATCAGGTTTCAGTATAGACGGTCTTGAGCCACCATGTGGTTGCTGGGAATTGTGATAGACTTAAAAATTAGCAAAGAAATATAGCCCAGATAAGGAAACTCTCCAAACTGAATGTAGGGCAGCCTAACTAAGAAACTAAGGCCACTACTATGACTTAGTGCCTGGAATTTACCTGCTTACAAGGCCATAAGATAACTGGGTACCAAGAATTCCCAGATGACCACCCTTCCCAAGGGGCTCATGGAGGAAACAGATTGCCCCACTGGCCAATGTGTCAATAATTAACAATTAAGGGTCCCTACGAAACAAAGAGAAAGCTACCATTTGCTCAGGCAAGATAAGCATATCCTGAGGTCTGCAGGTTTTACAACTGGTGGGTCAGGAGACCATCTGATTCCCAGCCCTCTCCTCAAGACAAAGGGCCTCCTAGGAAACCATGACTCTGGTCATGCCCATCCCTAAGCTTATGGTTTTTGCCTTTAAAAAACGCCTGTGCCTGGGGGACGGGGCTGCTCTCTAGCCTGCATGCTGAGAGAGCGAAGATTTTCAAAGAGTATGTAACACTGTCAGAATCCATGGGAGCTTCAACTAAAAATAACCTTGTCTAGAACA